TTAAGGGGCGCCAAACCCATGACAATATAAGGAGAACCCTACATATTATTGAACACGTTAAGCAAAACAATACCAGTGCAGCCTTGATAAGTCTTGATGCAGAGAAGGCATTTGACTGTGTTAATTGGGCATTTCTATATCAGACACTTGAAAAATTTGGATTGAACAAGAAGGCTGTTCAATGTATTAAGACACTTTATCAAAAGCCGACTGCTAGGATAAAAATTAATGGGAGTCTAACTGAGAGTATACAGTTAGAAAGATCTACCAGACAAGGTTGCTGCCTATCACCAACACTGTTCGCATGTTTTATAGAGCCCCTGGCGCAAGCAATTAGGCAGAATACAGATTTGAGAGGGATAAGGGTTGGGGATGAAGACCACATCATTGGTCTTTTTGCTGATGATGTGATCTGCTATTTAGGAGACCCAGACGCATGCCTTCCAATATTAATTAATCAACTCGAGGCGTTCGGTGTCTATTCAGGTTATAAGTTAAACTTTGCCAAAACACAGATCTTAACATTGAACTATCTACCATCCAAAAATATACAACAAAAATACAATCTCAATTGGAATGCAAATACAATGAAATACCTTGGGGTTACCTTAACAAGAGGAATGGATGATCTATATGAGACCAACTATGTTAAAGTGGATAAATCCATTAGAAATGATGTAGAGAGGTGGAATGTCCTTTCTCTGGACTTTAGTTCCCGGATAGAGACTATAAAAATGAGCTTCCTCCCTCGACTCCTCTACCTCTTCCAATCACTCCCTATTGAGATACCGGAGAATCAATTTAGAACGTGGGATAAAGTTATCTCTAGGTTTATATGGAATGGTCAAAGGCCAAGAATCAAATATGAAACTTTACAGCTTGGAAAACATGAAGGAGGTATGGCGCTCCCAAATCTTAAGGAATATTTTCATGCAGCACAACTTAGACCTTTAGTCTGCTGGTGTGCTAAGGATTACGAGGCTAAATGGAAAAACCTAGAGCAGTATGTACAAGGGAGGGAAATTCAAAGTCTTATTGGGGATGAAGGGGAAGCTAAGGATTTATTTAAACAGATAGATGCTATCACCCAGTTTTCATTAAAATTGTGGTTCAGCATAATACGAAAATATAAATTAGAGGCGGATCTCCCTCTACTTAGATGGATAGCTTATGACAGACACTTCACCCCGAATACTCTTGACCAGAGATTCCAGCAATGGAGACTGAATGGAATAACAGCACTGTGTACAGTAATGAAGGACGGGAATTTTATGAGTTTTGAAGAGATGAAACAAAACTTTACATTATACAATCAGGATCATTTCAGACACTTACAATTAAGGGATTTTTATATGAAGGAAGTAAAACCAAAAGTAAATCTGGGGGAAAACGGTATAATTAGAACTATAATAGGAATATACAACTCAAGGAAATACAGAATAATATCTACATTATACCAGCAACTGATGGAGAGGAAGGGAAATACAACGTCATATGTCAAGCAGAAGTGGGAAAAAGAGCTAGGTATGAATATATCTGAAGAAGACTGGTTACATATATGGAATACACAACAATCTACCACATCGTCTCGTATATGGAGGGAATTCTGTTGGAAAAATGTAATACGATTTTTCATTACACCTAAAATTAAGAGCAAATTTTTGTCAGTACCACAACCATGTTGGAGACAGTGTGGAGCGGTAAATGTAAACCATTCACATGTCTTTTGGCTCTGTCCTGTTATTACACAGTTTTGGGAGGATGTCCACTTGGTTATTGTTGAAATCTTGGGTTATGATATACCCAAGTCATGTTCAGTGCTGTATTTTGGTAATATGGAAAGAAACATTGTGTCAAGAGAAGATCGATACCTGTTTAAAATTTTGTTAGCAGCATGTAAAAAGGCCATTACGAAAAGATGGTACAAGCCGGACCCCCCAACACGAGATGAATGGCTGAAACTAGTGTCTGAAATAAGTGTAATGGAATGGTTGACTCATAAGATAAGAGTTCAAGAGGATCAATGCGCAAATAATTGGGGAAAATGGACTGTATTTACATCCCAACGACAAGAAGAGGTCTGAAGTTGATGTATCTCATTCACTAAATTGTAATGTTTAGGTGATCCAGATTGTTCCCTTTTTTTTTTTTTTTTTTTTTTTCTCGTTGGTTTGTGTTTGTTTGTTTTACTAATTATAATTTTTGTATATATGTGATGAAACTATAAAAAATAAAGTATAAAAAAAAAAAAAAAAAAATCACCAAGAATAACAATCCTGGATGACATGGAACAGAGTGATGTAAGTAGATCATGTATTTCAGGGAGAAATGAGGAGTGTGGTTTGGGGGGACGGTATATGAGAAGCACTGTCATGGAGTATGGAGGTTTACATTTGAAGGCTAAACATTCCATTGAGGCAAGATCAGGCAGTGGCAAGGGAGAGAGTTTCAGTTCATCCCGATAGATTACGGCCAAACCACCCCCACGTCCAGAGCTGCGTGGTTTTTCCATATAGACATAACCCTTAGGGCAAGCTTCATTGAGTACTGAGTGGTCGCCTGTTTTGTGCCAAGTTTCCACTAGGCACATGAAGTCTAATCCTCTATCCAGAATATGGTCATGGATAAGCAGGCATTTATTGGTAAGGGATTGTGTGTTAAATAATTCCATAGTAGCAGGAGACAGAGCTGATGGTGAAAGTCTCTGTAAGCTCCGCAGTACACTGTGGTCCACTCCGTGTTTTATATATCTCCCACCACTAGAGGTCGTCAGGAGCGGTGAAGGGTTCCTACATACTCCAAGCGCGGCAGCGCTCTGATGACGCCGTTGTAGCGCGACACGCGCAGCTGAAGACCAGATGGAGGGGATCGTCGATGCACCATGCAGGAGATAAACAAAGTCTTTCCGAGCACTTCTGTGGCAGTACCGGGGTCGGCGCAAAAGTCCAAGCTGTCTTATAGCTGTGATGCAAGGTGGAGCAGTGTCGCAGTTGAGACTCAGCAGTTGAGAAATGGAATATTTCAACATCATGCTGGACGCTGGTGGCGTTAGCACAGTGTTTACACCAAAGAGCGGCAGCAGGTGCGTTGCTAAAGCCCCCAGTCAAAAAGATTGTTGCGGTACAGAGAGGTAGGAAACTTGCAAGGGGGATAAAAAAAGTCCCATAAAAAACACTTTCTTAAAATACGCTAAATTAAAATCAGAAATTAAAATCAGAAACGGAGAAGCGGCGAACAGACAGCGCCAGCGTCCTCTCCGTCCATTAATCGGAGAGGTCGCCATTATAAAAGCTACTTAAATGCCCTAAGTGAACTAAGGCCTAATCCTGGCTTATTCTAAGACCTGTCTGTGAAACCGGGCCTAAACGTCTAAAAGGGATGTTGATATTGTTGGTTTATTTACACAGGACTCAGTTCTGGATGGATCTTCTGAATGACTTGAAGGAGAGGCAACTCTTTAATGGCAGTCATGAACACATATGCTTGGTGCGTTTTGTGTTTTTAAGTGTGCTACAGATGGACCTTAATGAATGCAAAGAAATTTGGAACACTCACACCATTAGGGCAGTTAAACAGTCTCGCTGTCCTTCTGGTAAACCAGATGCAATGTACGCTCTTCCACACAGGTCAGTATATGACTATTAAATATTTAACTTATTTGCATTTTGTAATCGAATTGTTAAAATTATATTTAACATACAACTTCAAGCTCACCATAATGTTGTTCTAAAGCCATATGTCTTACTTCCATATAACAAAAATATTTGATATGATACACAATGTTAGTCTCACTCAGTTTACTTTCATTGTGTTCTTCTGTAAAATTAAACTGAAAGGAGATTGTGGCTAACATTCTATTCCACAGAAGAAAGTCATTCAACTTTGGATTGATGAAGTTTAGTAGACAGTTTTATTTTGGGGAAAAGATTTTATAATTAAAGGTACAGCGATAAAGGTTAATTTGTATTTAGTTTTCACACCAAACTTTTTCCTCTTTCACTTAAAGGTTTAACGGGAGAGAATGCGGATTTCGTGTCTCAGAGGAAGACTTGAACCAGTGTTTCATTGAACCTACTCTTAGTACATGTCAAGATGAACAGCTTCAGGCAAACTTTGAAGAACTGCACGCTCAAAGCAATCTGACTACACCTCACAACTGGGAGACTGGTGTGGAGAACTATATAACTTTAAAAAACATGGCCCGCATTTAAAGGGTTAGTTCACCCAAAAATGAAACTTCTGTCAGTAATTACTCACCCTCATGTTGTTCCAACCCCGTAAGACTTTCGTTCATCTTCGGAACACAAATTAAGATATTTTTGATTACATCTGAGAGCTGGATCACTCCTCCATAGGCTTCTAAGGTATTGAAACTTGCCGGCCCAGAAAAGTTATTAAAGACATCGTTAAAATAGTCCGAGTGACTACAGTGGCTCAACCTTAAGTTTATCAAGCGACGAGAATATTTTTTATGCGCAAAAAACAAACAAAAATAACGACTTTATTCAACTATTCATTTCCTTCTCTGTGGGCCTCGAGTGAGTTCACGTAGTGTAACAGCGCAGCGCTTCTGTGTCGTACGTCACACGTAGGCTCACTAATGGCCGACGCTGGTCATGTGTGCGAGTGTGTGTGTGAGACGTACAACACAGAACCGCTGCGCTGTTACACTACGTGAACTCACTCGAGGCCCACAGAGAAGGAAATGAATAGTTGGAATAAAGTCGTTATTTTTGTTTGTTTTTTGCGCACAAAAATTATTCTCGTCGCTTGATAAACTTAAGGTTGAGCCACTGTAGTCACTTGGACTATTTTAACGATGTCTTTAATAACTTTTCTGGGCCGGCAAGTTTCAATACCTTAGAAGCCTATGGAGGAGTGATCCAGCTCTCAGATGTAATCAAAAATATCTTAATTTGTGTTCCGAAGATGAACGAAAGTCTTACGGGGTTGGAACAACATGAGGGTGAGTAATTACTGACAGAAGTTTCATGTTTGGCTGAACTAACCCTTTAACATTTTACATTGTTCTACTCAGTGCAATCCAAAACCAGCTGAGTTTTGGATACCAAAGTCCATTGCATTTTTGAACTCTTCATAGCTTTTGGACAATGGCAATTTGATTGTATTGGCACATGTGCAGGCAATGGGAAATTTAGAAGTCCTCTCAAAAGTCAGTTGGGGCTGAGGCTCAATTGTTGAAGGAGGCAGTGAATCCAGTCCTGTAGCAAACATCAGGATGTCCTGGAGGGAGATTCCAGTTTCTTGTTCTGAAAAAAAAAAAGCAAAAAAAAGCAATGGAATATTATGAAATATGTACAAAACAACAATAAAATATGATGTTCAATCCTTTACCTCCAGTGTCAAGCAGATAGTCTCTCTAGTATCCTAAAATCCTTGTTTCTTCTTGTCGTCTGGTGCTACCAACTTCACTGAGCTGAGCCTTGAAGACAGCCTCCAGTGATTCAGGTGTTAGTTTCTCAACACTGTAGCACATGTAGGGTCTGAATACACTTGGATGTTGTTCCAGGGCATGGATGACATCCAGGGTGGAAAGACCGTCGCTAAATCTGGAAGCAAAACAAAGTAATGATAATAATAATGATATGAATAATGATAATATGCTCTCAAATTAGGAACCAACTTACCTTTGTACGGAGTATTGGTTTCTGTAAATTATATACCACTGTATGAAATCCTCAACAATGTTTTCTTTGCCTTCTACACTTTGTGGGTAATCGAAACATCCAGCAGTCTGCAGCAAGCTGGCATACTTATCCATAAGCATGTTTAATTCATCCAAAGATGCTGCACTAGATATCTGGTAGATAGGACACATTCAAAAGGAGCAATTCAATTCGAATACATTTTTCTTAAAGCAAATACAAAAAAAATATTGTAACTATTAATCCTTAAACCATTATTACACACACACACACACACAAAAAAATCTTAAAATGAGCTTAAATACAAATTTAATGCACCTCAAGTAAAGCTGCCTTCATGGTCTCATCTGTTATATCTTCAACTGTTCCATTAATGTCAGTCCTTCCAGTGAGGTGATTGTATAGCATATCTGAGAGGAAGCGAGGACCTGGACCACCGTGAACAATGGAAACTGCAATCATCTGCCCCGCAAGAAAGTATTCATCTTCTCTGGCAGCTATAGTAAATTGTTTTTGTCCAGTTAGTATAAAACAAGACAATTATGACCAGGGCAGATAAAAAGTAGATTTAAGTAAATAATTTACCTGCACTGTTAAAGGTGAGAAATCTCCTATTTGCTGGACCATCAAAGATTCTCCGTGTCCTTAAACAGTCCATTAGGAGTGTTAGAAACTCACGTTTGGGACCACCTGTGTCCACTGCATCTTCAGTTGTGCCTTCGTCATCTGTGAATTTAACAAGCATGTCGTGTGATGGGTTGTATGATGCACGTCCGAATCCACGAATTGCTCCATCCCAAACATCGGCTCTATTTATGTTGAATCTGCTGCAAGATGTTTTTATTATCTTCAATGAGAGATCTGACACAATGTCTGCAGAAGTTAATACATCTGTGCTGTAATAAATAAAGAGGTTTTGATTAAGCTAAGCAAAATAATAATGACATAAAAAAGTCAATACATTTAGGAACATGATATTGAGACGGGAGTAATTAATAAATTAAGTACCTTTCTTATTGAACATGTTGTCTGCTATCATCGGACGCTTCCGAGTCACTTTCGATTATTATTGGGGCATAGAGACGTGTGTAATTGCTGTAAAAAGACAGATTAACAGGAATTTACATCCATTGACATACAAAAGTAATTGTAGGCTACTTGTAAAGCAATTCATTTATTTTTTTAAACTCTTTTTGAGGTAATAGAAGCAGTTTACGTGTAGCACTTTTGTTGGCCATGTCTGTGTTCTTGGATATTTGTTCCATTTTTTCCTGCTTCCTAGATTTGTCAGAAATATAACAATTATTAAAATAACATTATAACTGACCATTATAAAGACAAAATAAACATTTTCATTTGTTGTAACAAAGTAACTTTGCAAGGTATGAACAATTATGAACTTACTTGGTCCAAAAAAAGGCAGAGAGAGATCAGGGGGTCTGAAAAACAACTACTGTGAATTAATTTGAACAACTCCACTCCTAACCTCCAAATTATGTCTTGTTAACTATGCTAATGCCTGTTTGATGTGCTTCCTGCATTTGGTGTGCTTGCTTCATCTGGATCATCCCATATCTGTAAAAAAAAAAAAAAGAAGAAAAAAAGCCACTTGTTAAAATGAGTTAAAATTAAATGTTATGTAAGGAGACATGCAATTAAATGCACCCACCAAAGTGTCACTCTCATAATGCGGACTGTGAGATGTAGACTTTACTTGCACTTCACTGTCTTCACTAGAAGAATCCCCAGAGCAGTCTTCAAACAACAATGAAAGTAATAAATTCACTTTGATTTAAACCAATTCGTGTAAATAGTGTTTTATACATTATGTCTTTGTAAGATTTTCATTAAATTAAATATGCTTACCATTGGCTAAAAAGTCTTGAAATGTGCTTATAAACAGTGTTATTCTTTGATAAGCCTTTCCAATTGCTTCTTTGTACAGGTGTAGTTTGAAAGGGGTGTTTGTTCCTGGAATGTTTTTCACCTCTGAACCATCTGGGTACAGCAATACATAGGGGCCCTCTTCCATATCCTGATTAAAATCTCTTACTTTCTTTTCAGCTGCAATTAAAATTTGCTCAGATGACCAATTAGGTTGAACATCAAGAGGCAGGGTCTTCCCTCTGATAGGCTTTAGAACACCACCATGTCTCCACATAACTCCAACATAAATCTACACATGAAAAGAATGAAAAAAAAAGTTAAGTGTCACAAACTGATTTATAAAAACTATTTTTTTTCAATGAAAGTAAAACTGACAGATTTAAAGATAATCATGTTTTTGAAAATAGTTGATATCTTTATTTTCTCAATTCCACAACTGGACTTCTCTCTGATTTCCCTGCTTCAAACACATTGTCACATAGAAATCTCTCAAATTATACTCGACAGTTCACCAAGCAGTATTGTTGCCTACCTGCACTCGTGTTTGCCTCATTTTCAGCAGGAACTTTATCTTTTAGAAATTTAATGCTTTTACCACATGCACTGCAAAAAGCAGGACAGCTTTCCAGTGTAGCGCCACAAAATGGACAATACATTGTGATCTGTAAAAAATTACGTTACTAACTTCAGGGAAGAAGCAGCCTGTTAAAACGGCGTTCAGACTAACAATAATCTTTTGAAATAAAATCTCAACGCAAAATCACAGTGACTACCTTCTTGGCAAGTAAACAGTAATTATCTATCTACTGCACAGGACAAATATTGTGTTAAAGTGTTTAACAACACTAAAATTAAACATACATTTTAATATGTACTTGTTTGTACTTACATTCACATTCTTCGTGTGTGTCTGTGCGCGTGAAGCATCCAGACAGCCAGCGATAACGCATGGGAGATTGAGAGCAATTTACCGTTTCCGGAGACCACCTGTCCCCCTAGTGGTCGGGAGCATTTCCGTTGTGTTGTGGCTATTCCGTTGTGTTCTGGCTATTTCGTTGTGTTGTGGCTATTTCGTTGTGTTGTGGCTATTTCGTTGTGTTGTGGCTTGTTTCCGTTGTGTTGCGGCTTTTTTGCGTTGTGTTGTGGCTTGTTTCCGTTGTGTTGTGAACTTATGTTTGCTTTTTGAATTTCGTTGTGTTGTGCACTACTGGGCCACCGTACTAGACGGTCGCCTAAAGAGACGTCGACCTGAGAGAATATCGTCGATCCTGGATAATTAATTAACCCTGTCGGAGCTCCATCAGGAGCGTGTATGATGCGTGTATATAGCAGAGTGTTATTCAGATCCGTGTAATCTTCACCAGTCCCTGCTATAAAGAATTCGATGGGAGACGCATCTTTTAAAGCTGACACAGGGCTTATCTCCACATACGTATTTTTTTCAATAGCTGTCTGTGTCAAAGGGAGCGTAAACAGATCCAGCTCTGATTTAATGCACTCGTCAGACATACAGTGTAACAGAGACATGTTTTAGAAAATAGTGATACCCCATCTTTTTAAATTTGTAGATCTTTTCACCCGTTTCGTGCTAGCTCTTCGCTTGCTTTTTGTAACTGAGCGTGTTTTGCTAGAGCGTCTAGTCTTCTTTACAGCAAGGACACGCCCTCTTCTCATACGGGCACCTGGAGGTTTACATGACATCACCATCATGCCATGGCCTTCCTGTCCATTTTCATCATTATTATTATAAGACTTTGTTAGAACGCTGGTGACAACATCAGTAATTATGTTTTTAGCGGCTGACTTTAGATGTGGTTTTGCTATACTGAATCCCCTTCTAAAAAAAGGCAGAGCCACTCGAAAAAGGCCTTTAAAAAGTCCACCGATCCCTGAAGCAAAACCGGACCCGTACATAACTCCGCCCCCTGCGTAGCCCGGAAGACCGTTACCGGCCAGCCCGGTACGGTAGTATGATATGTAGCGTTCGGGATCCGCCTTGTACGGGGTGAGATAAGCCATTTTAAAATGGTTGATGTTTCACAGGTCTAAAATGTAGTTTGGTAACAACCTTTAAATCGTCTTTTACATCAACAGAGATTTCTGTGATGCAGCTCTTATTAACACGTACGTAATGAGCTTTAAAAAAACTGACTGTTTTGTTGGTTTCACCATCTATATATACAGTTGCTAATAAAGGTACATAGGCATCACCAACTGATTGATAGTCGATTATGTCCGTGTATACATATAGTGTGTAGAAACCGGCTCTTATATCAGCCTGGAATGGAGCATATGTGATGTGTGTGTCTTGATGTTCATCCGAACTGTTTACAGTTTCTATAGAAATCCCTGGTTTTAAACCTAGGATAATCGCTAGCTTGCCATAAAATGTCAGCGAAGTCCCTTGAGGTGCTTTCAGAAATACCTTATTCTTTATACGGTCGTAGGCGAGACGCACCCTCTGGGGGAGAGAGACATTTATATCCCTGAGCAAAATGGGGACATCCTCAAAATACCCACATTTTAACGTATTCCGACTCGTTGATAATTTTAGAGCATTCTGAAACGTATCACCCCTTACATCATGCAGTTCGTAGTTATTCTGTAGTAGACGTTGATCGCAAACAATAACAGCGTCATCCTCATTAAATGTATACCATGTCAATGGATATTCAAATTCGACCAATGCCAGCTCCCACAGTCCTTTTAAATTTATACTTCTAGCCATTCTAGTTCTGTAATTAGATATATTGTTTTTAGGGTAGATGTTCATCGATGCGTTGCATGGAAGCGTGACGTAGAATCCTTCCTCAGCCATGGTGATTATGTAATGACACCTGCCATGAATTCTCTACGGCTTTAACGGACCCGTCAGATGCCACACCTGTTTTTCAGCTATCCAGCTGTTAAATTTGGAGGGCCAACCCCACCATTTGACTAGAACGTACGTGACTTTTCCACGTTTTTGTTTATGCAAAATCTTCTCAATCTTAAATGTTTTATCATCACTGACAATAATTTTTTGTAGTTCTTCCTCTTAAAAACAACCATCGATAATTTCACCGTCGTAGTCTTGTAACCGGTATACGGGAGGGATACGTGGAATGCATGTGGTAATGGTGAAGTATTCCTCTGTATAATTCTGCTCATAGGCCTTAGTAAATATACCTCGGACTTTAGAGACTCTCACAACATCCCCTACAGCGTATTTAAAGACGGGTGTCTCTTTACGCATTTTTCCGTATAAATTATTAAACACTATCGTCTCATTTTCTTTATGAACGTCCAGCGGACGCATTTTGATGGATTTGTGATAACTGCAATTATAACCCTCTGTCAGGTCTTGCAGTATATCACAGTAGCGTTTGGAATTTACAGACCTCCAAAAAACCTCCACATTCGACCTTTTAGAGTTCTATTAAACCTCTCGACTACACACGCTTTTAAATCGGATGCTGTGGCAAAATGATGTATGCCGTATTTTTTCATCAGCAGTTGAAAATGTTTATTGAAAAACTCTGTCCCCTTATCTGTTTGCAGCTTTACCGGTACGCGTCCTTCTTTCAGGATAGATTCGAAAGCTTTAGTCACTTCTGGACCCGTCTTATTTTTCAATGCACGAGTCCATGAGTACTTGCTGAATAAATCAATAACTGTAAGAATAAATTTAATATTATCGTTCTCTTTTGAGTATGCAGACATATCGACCAAATCAGCTTGGAATTGTTGGTCCTTACCGTATACAACTACACGGTTCCGTTTATAATTTATCGGGGCAGTCTTGTGTAACGTGTATACATCCTGACTGGCCAGCCATTCACTCACATCCTTATCATTTAATTTGACGTTGTATTCATGTAACACAGCCTGTTTTATTCTGTCCTTACCACCAAAAGCTCCGGGACTTGAAGGATTATAGTAAAAATTTTTCATTAGCTCTGCCACTCTTCATAAAATAATGACCAGTTGTCTTGATGTCACACAGATTTTTATTTCATGTATGTACATGGTTACAAGGTATGATTATATATCGTACAAATAACAAATAAAATTTAAACACATTTCAAAATTTTTATCCAGCATGTA